AAAGTGCACCTACATTTTTTTAATATCCCTTTAGAATCCCTGGGTCACCAGGAACAGGTATTTCAGGAAGCTCAAACTGAAATTTAGCTGTATACAAATCATGTGGCTTAACAGATGTGCAGACATCTGCAGATCAAGCAACAGTATTTACTAGTCATGTATGTAGTAGACGTGCCTCCCCATGAACATTTATGTTTGCATTGTTTTACGAAAATAAACAAGGGCTTTTGGAACATACGGTGTGCAGGTCCTGATTTTTAAAACCTGCCTCCATTTTGTGCCCCAAGTGCAATTAATTTCAGGTATTGATGACAGCATATAGAAGATGATTATATACCTAATTTACAAGCACAATTAGGTAGTTATCTGCCATAGGTACATGCAGTTATTTGTGGGTGAAAAATGAGAGGCTGAACTGAAGTCCCTTTACACATCACACCCCTAAATATAGTCAAATGAATTAGACCTTGTGCAGCACATTACAGTATTTCTCTGCTTGAAATGAACATGCTGACTTTGCTATGCATGTATAAATCCACAGTTAACATTGCATTATATCACTGATTTTCTGTTGTGGTGCATTGAGTCTGTAATGCCTAAGTCCATCCTGTTCATAGAAAGCAATAGCTGCATGCCACAAATTAGTTGTTAAATTTATGTGCTCATAATGAGCAAAACAAAACAAAAATCCCATAGTGTGCTGAAGGCCTGTACATTTTGTTCAATGTTCTATTCTTATGAGCAGCTGACCTAGATTCTCTGCCTGAATGAGAATGTTTCCCAGCAATTGAGGCTGTTTAGAGAGTCAGGAATTCAAGTATTGCCTGAAAGCTTATCATAGAAAGAAAATGAGGCTATAGTTTTACACTATTCATTCGTCACGTAACAGGTTCTCAAATATCCACATAAAGTGCAACACTGACTGCACTAGCTTTCACTTCAGAGTCTGACAAAGACTGTATTTGCATTTTGTCCCTACTAACTAGGTAAACAAGGCAGTTTCCAGCACTATGCATCCTTGGAATAAACACAGTGTGAAAAACTTTGCCATATGGCAAATTGGATTTTCTGTAAATGGTCTGGCAGTTGACTAGGAGTCAGGACTCCTTGGTTCTCTTGCTGTTTCTACCACTGAATCATTCTATGGTCCTGGGCAAATCAGTTCCTCTTTGTGCTTCAGTTCACCCATCTGTAAGATGAGTACTATAACCATTTATTATTAACCAGTAATACTTAACTCTCATGCATGTGGGTTGTGAGGCTTAATTCATATTTGTAAAGCACTTTGATTTCCTGAAATGAAAGGCACTATAGAATAGCAAAGTTCCTCTGTTCTTACTCTGTGGACCATACACTTTTTTAATATTGTAACTTGCCCATTTTAAAGTACAATAAACTATGATGGAATAAGATTTCTTTCTTTACCAGTAACTCTAGCCCCCACTAAACCAGCAGTTTCCTCTCTAAGGGCTAGATCCTAGATCTGTATGAGTAGGGTTACCATATTTGAACATTCAAAAAAAGAGGACACTCCATGGAGGGGAGGGGGTATTTCCTCATGCCCCCCGCCCCTGGCCTCACCCCAACTCCACCCCTTCCCTGCTCCTTCCCCACCTCCATTCCAACCTCTTCCCCAAAGTCCCTGCCCCAACTCCGCCTCCTCCCCGCCCCAGCCCCGCCTCCTCCCCTGAGCGCACCGCATTCCCCCTCCCACCCCTCCCTCCCACCCACACAAAACAGCTGTTTCGCGGCACAAGCGCTGGGAGCTGGGGGGAAAAATGGGCACTCTCTCGAGTGATCAACATTCACTTTCTTTCTCGAATGATCAACATTCACGCTCTTTCTTGAATGATCAACTCTTCTTTGAGGAAAAATAATAATGGCTAAATCCCAGACATTTTTAGATATTTAAAAATTCCTCCTGGACGGCAATTTAAGAACCAAAAAGCCGGACAGGTCCGGGAAAATACAGACATATGGTAGCCCTATATATGAGAGGACTCTGGCCATTGCAGACCCCCATTGATTTCAGCACTCAAGCTGCACTTGCACATATGAATGTTCAGGATCAGGGTCAGTGATAAGACACGTACCCAGTGTGTTCATTTGGAAAGACATTATTCTTCACGGTCTAATCACTGAGCTTTAGCCACTTCTCTGCTTTGGTAAAACTTCCAGCAAGGCACCGATGGTGTTAAAATCCAATTAGCTGCTTCGAAACTCAGATTTGGTTGACTGGATTCAAACACCACATCAGACAAATGGGTTTTCCCTCACAAGCTCCTTTCTTGTGTGTGGGTAGCACACAAACTAGGTCTTTCATTTTTCTGTAAACACTTGCCACAGCTGTTATTTTTAGAAAGCTGTGTGATGGTCTGACTTTTGTTTATGAGCAAAAAAAAGGAATGCTGAATATTTTACTGTCTGTGTTGTTTGTGTTTTTTAGTTTCACATTTCATTACTGAGACCCCTTACTCTTCTGCCAGGAGACTGAATGAAGAAACCTTGCTGACAAGAAGCTTCGGCCCTCTGACAAAGCAGAGTAAAGGTGCAGGTGAGCAAATAAAACTAGTCAGGGACACTGACAGGAAGTAAAAAGGCAGGAGTAAGGATGTAGGTGGTGAGGAACCAGGAAGCAGCATGTGATGGATCTATGAAAAAGTATGCCAGAGGACACTTTGAGACTGCAGAACCCACACTCAGATCTTGTAGACCTGCTGCGCAAGGCAGAAGCAGGGGTTCTGCAGCTGAATGAAACTCAGCAGGAGTTCCAAGTTTAGCAACAAAAACCCTGTTTATGGTTTCAGGTTTATTTTCAGAAGGCTTTGGTTTTTGTCCCCCACAACCCACCCACCCACTGCAACCAAAATAACACAAGGCAGTAAAATCTCTATGTTCCCATCCTACGATACAACCGCATTTGCTCCAACCCCTCAGACAGAGACAAACACCTACAAGATCTCTATCAAGCGTTCTTAAAACTACAATACCCACCTGCGGAAGTGAAAAACAGATGGACAGAGCCAGAAGAGTACCCAGAAGTCACCTACTACAGGACCGGCCCAACAAAGAAAATAACAGAACGCCACTACCCGTCACCTTCAGCCCCCAACTAAAACCTCTCCAGCACATCATCAAGGATCTACAACCTATCCTGAAGGATGACCCATCACTCTCACAGATCTTGGGAGACACACCAGTCCTTGCCTACAGACAGCCCCCCAACCTGAAGCAAATACTCTCCAGCAACCACACAATAAAAACACTAACCTAGGAACCTATCCTTGCAACAAAGCCCATTGCCAACTGTGTCCACATATCTATTCAGGGGACACCATCATAAGGCCTAATCACATCAGCCACACTATTAGAGGCTCGTTCACCTGCACATCTACCAATGTGATATATGCCATCACGTGCCAGCAGTGGCCCTCTGCCATGTACATTGGCCAAACCAGACAGTCTCTATGCAAAAGAATAAATGGACACAAATCTGACATCAGGAATCATAACATTCAAAAACCAGTAGGAGAACACTTCAACCACTCTGGCCACTCAGTAAAAGATTTAAGGGTGGCAATTTTGCAACAGAAAAACTTCAAAAACAGACTCCAATGAGAAACTGCTGAGCTTGAATTAATATGCACACTAGATACCATTCATTTGGGTTTGAATAGAGACTGGGAGTGGCTGGGTCATTACACATATTGAATCCATTTCCCTAAGTTAAGTATCCTCACACCTTCTTGTCAACTGTCTAAATGGGCCATCTTGATTATTACTACAAAAGATTATTTTTTCTCTCCTGCTGGCAATAGCACACCTTAACTGATCACTCTCGTTATAATGTGTATGATAACACCCATTGTTTCATGTTCTCTGTGTATATATATATATATATATATATATATACTTCCTACTGTATTTTCCACTGCATGTATCCGATGAAATGGGTTTTAGCCCATGAAAATTTATGCCCAAATAAATTTGTTAGTCTCTAAGGTGCCACAAGGACTCCTTGTTGTTTTTGCTCATACAGACTAACACGGCTACCACTCTGAAACCTGTCACCATGCAAGATTTTACTAAATTACTCAAGATGGTTAAGTCCAAAGCTGGCTGCGAAGAGTTACAAAGGGATCTCACAAAACTTGGTGATTGGGCAACAAAAATGCAAATGAAATTCAGTGTTGATAAGTGTGAAGTAATGCACATTGGAAAACATAATCCCAACCATACATATAAAATGACGGGATCTAAATTATCTGTTACCACTCAAGAAAGAGATCTTGGAGTCATTGTGGATAGTTCTCTGAAAACATCTGCTCAATGTGCAGTGGCAATCAAAAAAGTTAAACAGAAGGTTAGGAAACATTATGAAAGGGATAGATAATAAGACAGAAAATATCATTATGCCACTATATTAAATCCAAGGTACACCCACACCTTGAGTACTGCATGCATTTATGGTCACCCACTCCTCAAAAAATAGCCAAAAAGAAAAGGAGGACTTGTGGCACCTTAGAGACTAACAAAAACTGCTTATTCATATTTATTTGATCTACTCACACAGGAAAGGACCTTGGTAGGTATCTGGTATCTCAGAGTAAACATCTGCAATTATGCATAAGCACATAGCTTATGTACTGGATATTTGAAAGTACTGTACACAGAACACTATACTTGAGTGTTACTAACATTCTTTCTCACACCCAGAAGTCAAAGAAATAGGAAAAATATCATAGGGAAAAAATCTGAAAGAAAAAAACTTGCATCTCTTGAATGTAAAAGTAATAATTCACGGCTACCTAAGCCACAGATACATGAGCTGAGCTGAGCAACTGCAACTCCCATTCAACTTCTCATTTAATTCTTTATGTCTATTAACATTTTATGTGTCTAGTTTTAATTTTTGCTTCATTTTGCGCATACCAGAACTCCATATGCAGCCTTTGGTGGACTGGGGACTTATTTACATGCATCCCAAGTCAGAGACTTACCAGTATATCATGAGCACATGCAGCCACAGCCTCAGATCACACAACTCATTTTGCTGCCTTCTGAACACTACGATAATGCACTCACTCCAGTTTTCAGGACATCAGACACAGCCTGTTAAATTGATAAGATATAAGTGAGCTGTGCTCATGTTTGGAGAGCAAGACCAGAGAAATAAATACAACTACCTAGTTTCCAAACAGCACTTGTACTTATCTTAGGGAGGAGAAGGAGAAGCAGGAATGAGAAAAAGGAGACAACAGCATGGTAGCAAGGGTAAAAAAGTAGACCCTGAAGAGAAGAGTCTCATTAGTTTATTTTCATGGGAAAACTATAGTGAAGAAAAGATAATTCCTAGTCACAGTAACTCTGGTAGATAGGGTTGCCTGGTGTCTGGGTTTTGACAGGAAAGTTCAGTCAAAAGGGGACCTGTACAGTGTCCGGTCAGAAGTACTGACTGGACACCAAAAGTCTGGTTACTGCCTGCAGGGGTGCCAGAACAGGGGGGGCCAAGGCAGCACCCTCCGCAGCATGTGTGATCACAGCAGGGCACTTGCAGACTGCTGGGGGCAGCATGGCTGTGAGCCAGGTTGGTGCCCATCCACTCAGTGGGATTGTGTTTGGATCACATCCCATTTTCCACCCTCCTCTCTGCTCCCCACCCACTGCAGAAACACCCCTACCTGCGTGGGAAGCCACTCCAGGGTTCCGAGACACGTGTGACTGGCACAGGTATCCGCAACCTGAGCTGGGGATCCCATGTGGGGAGGCCGCTTATCCCCAGGGCAGAGGTGATTTTGCAGCACCAGCTCCCACTTTGCCTCCCTCCCCATGCCACTTGAATGGGAGCTCGGCCTGGCCTGGGAGGGTGGGGGAGCAGCACCCTTAAAACTCAGGGCATGTGGCTCATTGCGGAGCCTGGCCTCCAGCTTGCATACACAGCGTGGGGAGGGAAGGGCATTTCCCCCAGCCCAGTGCAACCTGCCCACATATACAGACAGACAACACACACACACCCCATAATCGCTGCTGCAAACACCACTGCCAGTCTAGTCCAAGGCGCGGGGACCAGGGGCATCAGGTCATCAACCTGCGCCAGCCCCTTCTCAGTCAGGGCTGACTCCTACCCAGCTCTGCAGGTGGCGGGTGAGACCTGGGGGGAGGGGAAGCGAGCGAGCGGTGCTGTAATGTCCGGTTTTAAGAAATTGGAAAGTTGACAACCCTAGACAAAAGTTGTCAGCACTTTTTAAGCTCCACAATTAAGATCAATGGAAAATTGGGAAGGATTTGATTAAGACACAAGACTACTGAAGCCAGGATAGGTAGGTTTGTTTTTTTTTTCTGTGTTCTGTCACCTTAGGCAACCCACTTAGGCCCAAATTTTCAAAAGTGACCACAGCTAGTGTAATGGCTGTACACTGCCCCTCATAGCCACTGGCATAGTGGGTGTGGCCAAGGGAAAAGGGGCACAGCCAGGTGACATCTGCATACCAACTATTCTCCGCTACCAGAACAGCCTCTTGGAGCCATAAGCAGATGGGCATCGCTTAGAACTGCTAAAGGGACTAACACACCAGGAACCAAACTAGTTCTGCTGGGCCCAGAAGCCATAAATGTGGTATAAAGCCACCGCTCCCCCACAAAAGGTCCAACACGAAAAGCAGCTCAGACAGACCCAACACAGCCTCTAACTGCAGAAGTTACCATACCACATTACAAACAATTAGTAGAGATGGGCTAAAGCCACAAATCGAGATCTTCTAATGCTGTCACAGTTCGGGGTGTTCAGATCAGGCCCATCTTTAACGTTCAGTCTTAAACCTTCAAACCACACAATACAGAACAATCATTTTGACCAAAGAAGTAATCGCTAGAAATGGCTTAGGTATAAAACAAAACAATGCAATAGGAAGGCAGAGTCTATTTGATTAAGGCATCTGTAACCCACAGATACATTATTTTTAATGTAGTAGGGCAGGGTAGTTAGAACAAGAAAGGATTCTGCACTGCTATGCCAAGTTCGCAGACTTTTATAGTACATTTTACTCTAAAATAGAAAAGTAAATATAAGGAACATCCTACCCCTTGAAGGCCCAAATTGGACACAATATGGGTTTTTTCGGCCAAGTCCAAGGAAAGGCTAGGCAGCATGGCCCACATCAGCCAAGTTCAAAAAAAGGTCTAATTATGTAGGTCGCTTCAGCCAAGCTCTAAAGGAGAGGAGGGGAAACATAAAGCCTAGTTCTTCACCCCTCTTCCCAGCCAGCCTTCCTCCTTTTTTCTCTCAGATTCAACCCTCAGCTCCCCCTTACAACTGGAGGGGATTGACTAATGCCCCACCGCTGCAAGGCCCTGCACTCAGAGAAAGGCCCTTAGTCCTTCCTGTTCCCAGGGGAAGGGATTTAACTAGGGTGACCATACATCCCGTTTTGGCCGGAACAGTCCCTTTTTTAAACCCTGTCCCGGCCTTGATCAGTTGGCAAGAGTAAACGGGACAAATGCCCACTCTTGTCAAAAAACCGGGGTGTGGAGGAACGTGAGGGGGGCGAGCACTGAGGCCAGCCCCGCGCAGGGTGGGTGAGATAGGGCTTGGGCGGGAAGCAGGCAGGGCTTGGGCGAGCAGTGACACCACCCCAGCCTCGTGAGGGGGGCAGGCAAGGCTCAGGCGAGCAGTGATGCCAGCCCCAGCCTCATGAGGGGGCCAAGCAGTAAGGCCAGCCCCACGCGGGGGAAGGAGGGGCAGGGCTAGGGCTAGCCCAACCTGTCCCGTTTTCCCTTTGGGAAATATGGTCACCCTAGATTTAACCCTTCTCTTCCAGCTTCCAGATGGGTCTTCACAGCCTATCACACCAAGATGAAGTGAACTGTAATCTGTTATTGAAAACACGATAGGGAATGCCCCACAGCAGTGACACTGTATTCAAGTACTCTGCCTTCTTCACCAGCCTGCATGTCATTGAGATAGTATCTGCAAAGTCAGCTATACAAATAGTTAGCTTGGCTGGGGGAGAAGTGTACATAATACAGAGCATTCAAGGCCACTTGAGTACAGCAGACCAATGCCAAGAAGTGGAGCAATATTCTCAAGGGCATGTAGGCGGCATCTGCATTTCATATCCTGGTCAAAGTACAGAGACTTTAGAGCACCGTCCCCTTTGCTCTGAATTGCAATATCTTCTAGCTTAGAAATGCCTTTCTCATCGCTCTGAACTATGCAAGTCAGAGTTCAACTTGCTCCCTGATTTACTGAAGCACAAATGACTGGGGTCTGAGAAATGTCACAGAGAAGAGGACAGAAATAAAAATAGGTCATTAATGAGAACATTCAAACTGTTCTGTGTTTGTACAGTGCCTAGCACAATAGGATTCTGGGGCTCGTAGGGACTACCACAATATAAATAATAAGAAATGAGTGTTCCTCCCCAATTATCTATAGAGGGGTAGCAAACATGCCTGAGGGATTTAGGAGCACAACCCCACTTATTTATTAAAAGGCTGAGGACCTTAATCAGTCCCGAGTAAAGAGGTAAGGATGTGGCCCATTGTTAGTTATTTATTAAGAAGTAACAGCACACTCAGTGCAATACAGAACACAAAGGAGTTTGTGGTAGGCAGTATATAACTGTAACATCTCTTCTTTCATTAACGTGAGTAGGCTGGTACCCTCTTGTGCTGTAGAGTCATAGTCCCATGTGTATCTAAATATGCACCGAGATTAAAGTTCGACCTTGATCAGATTTTCCACAGATCTCTCAACAGTAATGGAAGCGTTACTATGGTACACACAACTCTGTTTGCATATTGAGAGAACAATGAGGAGTAAATGGACAGAGAACAGGTAAACATTCCACAGCCTGCATTAAATTACAGAACAGCCTTTGGAAACATTTCCTAAGGAAGGGATCAAATTGTCAGTGTACAGTCTAGCCCAAAGCAAGGGCAGTGTGGTTTTCCACTGACTCTGGAGGGTCCCAGAGCTCAGGCTGCAGCCCAGCCCAAGTGTGTACACCCCATTTAAACAGCCCCTTAGCCAAAGCTCCATGAGTCCGAGTCAGCTGGCATGGGCCAGCTGCAGGTGTCTACCTGCAGTGCAGATATACCCTGTGACAAGTCTATCCACATCACCGCACACGCTCCCCAACATGCCAGCATTACTGCGCCACTGGATGTGTTGAGAGGCCCTAGCCAAGGCTTCCCCATCCCTTACCACCTGCCCAATGGGGGGAAAGTAGCAGTTCTGCAGAGCCTATTTCCCCCTGCATGCAGAAAGCAGTGGTATGGGTCACTGGGGCAAGGGAGAAGGTGGGCACCCCTCCCGCTACTCCATTGCACCAACTCACCGGACGGGCCCAAATGTGTTATTCTGAGCAGAGAAGGGCTTTGAATCTCTTCATTCTGCATGGTTCAGATGTTTAGCAGACCTCTATGATAGCAACAATAGCTGTAATACTCAAAGCTGGTTGTCTTCAAAAACACAGGAACATTTATCACATTTTTATTATTAAATATTATTCTGTAAGACCTGGGATGCAAACCCAAATGTTATCCTCAGGGCAGATGAACACCGCCACGGAGCCTTCCCAATCACAGAGCTCACCCATGGTATTTACTGGTGACTTGAGACAGCCCACACAACAGTGAAATAAGCAGTCTTCACAATCACAAACATTCAAAAATCATGAGTCAGACCCCCAAAATTCATGAGATTGGCCCAGGAGTGAAAGTAATTTAAAGGACTTACCGGTATGCCGGAGTCCTGAGAAGGGGCATGGCCTTGACCGGAAGAGGCGGGGCCTTTAAATTCCCACGCCCTTTAAATCAAGATTTAAAGGGCCCGGGGCTCCATCTGCGGTAGCGGGGCTCAGGCGGCGATTTAAAGGGCCTGGGGCTCTGACCGCTGGTACCGCCCCAGGCCCTTTAAATAACCGCCGGAGACCCCGGCTCCCGCACTACCCCGGGACTCCGGCAGCGGGGCTCCAGTGGCAATTTAAAGGGTCTGGGGCTCCCAGCAGCAGCCAGAGCCCTGGGCCCTTTAAATCGCTGCCTGAGCCCCGCTGCCGGAGCCTCTGGGGTAGCGGCGGCAGCTGGGGGCTCCAGCAGTAATTTAAAGGGCCCTTTAACTCACCGCCTGAGCCGCCTCTGCTACCCAGGGGCTCTGGCAGCAGGACTCTGGTGGCAATTTAAAGGGCCCGGGGCTCCGGCCACTGCCAGTAAGGCGCGGTGAACCGGCTCTTGCCGGTATGCCATACAGTACCATACCAGCTTACTTTCACCTCTGGATTGGCCCCAAAAACATTAGATTTAAAAATATATATATTATATTGTGGTTTTTGATCTGCCTGTTGATTTTTGAACTCCCCCTGTTTACTCCCTGTGTGTGTATTTGCACATACTTATGTGTGTGCATGTGTGATTAATGTAGCCAATACGAAAACTCCTCTGGCTACTGGCTGCAGGGCTTGGGGTGGGGAGAGCCCTGCCAGTCTCCTGAAGCAGCCCCAATTAATGGCTCTTCCCGAGGAGGTGGGCAAGTGAGAAAGGCAGCCACTCAGAGAGGGTTTTTCTGAGCAGAAATTCGGGAGAAAGCTGGAGTTTCTGGAATCGCAGCCAGACTGGCTCCACCCTAATCATGTGACTAGTAAAGAGCTGACAACACGGCATAAGGAATCACATTCAACTAACCATATTCTTTCCCGGTGACCAGGAAAGGATTATTTTAAAATGGGATTGTACTTCCCCGCCCCTCTTCTTTATGGTATGTACTAAGTCACTGCTTCTCAAACCTTTCCATACTGGGACCCTCTTTCCCCCAGCAGGAGCCCCCAGAATCCATCTCCCATTTAGCAATATGTGAACAACAGAGTAGTAGGTTGAGACGGCATGTATAAATGACACTAATGACCCTATTTCAGGATCTGTACTTTTTAAATGTTTGGGTTGGGGGGGTGGAGTAGCCTGTGTTTGT